ACAGCCCAGAGACCCTCTGAGCAAACCCTGACAGACCCACAGCCCAGGAGAGAAGGATGAGAAGGACACCCCAGGGCACACAAAGAGTCTGTTTGTGCTGAGCCACGATGTCACTGTGAGTGGAGAGGAGTGTGGAGCAGTGCAATACCAGCTTTAATGGGCCTTAATGGGCTTTAATGTGCAGCCTCTCCCAAGTGCAAATGTTGTCTGGGTTTGCCATCACCTGACTTCTTGACCTTCCTGGTTTTGTCATATTAGAGGGACGTTACCTGAGCATCACACACCTGCTGAGAATTGCCAAATTACTTTATTTTGATGAATATTTTTGTACCAAAGTAATAGGGAATAATTGTACTAGTGAGGTTTCAATGTTATTACACTATTGAGGTGACAGAAGGAGAATCCATTTTTTATTAAACCAAGTCTTAAAGCAACACATCCACTCTAGCTTTTACTATCAAAGTCTTAAAAAGACTTCACTAACTTAAAAATTACAGTTCTGCCTCGAAAAAATGTTACCTCTGAGTACTAAAGGTACTTGAAGAATAAAAAAAATTGAAAGACACTATTAAGTCCATAGCCTGTTTTCCCTGAACAGTAAGCTCAGTACTTTTATGCAGGTAGTGGTTTGACCTGATACTGTTAAGAAAAGGACAAATGAGTTTATAAAGAAGAAGAATGCAAATACTGAACTGCAAGAACTGCCAGGATAACTCAGTGATAAGTGGAGTCTACTTCTTCATACCTACAAAAGCAGACAGATAAAACAAGTCACATTCAAGGATTTATGTCCTAGAATTCTAAAGTTGTCCCTGATTTTTCATCTGGAAATTCAGTTTCTTCCTTCCATTCTTTATATTCTCATGTGGTGTTGCTGCTTCAATCCAGTGTAAATGGTGCTCCTCCCCACAGTTGGTCAGAGTCAGTAGTTGATGAGATCTCAACAGTGGAGATTGTGACAAGCCATCTATGAAGGTCACTAATCACATTGCAGAAAGTACATGGTGTAGAATGACCAAAATATGCATAATATGTTCACCCTTTGCAGTATCTCAGGACAACAAGATGCAGGAAAAAACCCCATAAGATGTCACCATCATCACTACTTATTGCAATGCAATGAAAGGTGACTTTGATATTTCTTATAGAAATGTTGACTAGTAAGACCATTTCCCAAGTTTTTCTGCACAATGTGGGATGAAATCTTAACTAGTTTTCAATTCAACCTATTTGTACTTTTGTGAATCTACGATTGGTTCTGATCTAAGTAGGTTTTTAGCTTTTTTTATACATGCTGTATTAATTTAGCTATTTAATACCTATCACGATGTGTGATCTGTTTAATAACCTATTTAGCAAATACTAATTTAACTTCTGTGTGTTGTAATAATTACTGTAACTGGACTCTTCGAGTTCTTTAAAACAACTCAGGCAAAATTGAGCAGCATATCTGCTACTGGGACTTCTGGGAGCCAGAGCATATGTAGAACTGCCATTGTTAAAGTATTAATTGTCAGCTGTAAAACAATTCAGAAAGAGATTTTTTGTGCATGATGTACAGAATGAAGGGAATTAAGCATAGCTGAGACTACTGTTAATGGAGTGTGAGATTGCTCAAACGTTTGCTCACCAGCTGGGAATGGACCTGGGGTGACAAGACTGAAGATCAAGCCTTTCCAATTCATAGCCATGTTTTTATATTAAATGGTCCATTTCCTGTGAACTTAAAGAAGATGTCAATGTCTGACACATTTTATTACAAAATGTGAAGTGTTTTTATAGTAATAAATGTAATATGGTCATGACTTGGTGTGTTGTTGAGAGGTAAAAAAACAGAGGTGGAGGAGGGGTTTTCCTTTTCCATGAGCAGCAAACTCATGTTTCCAGGGGCTATTCCCCTGTCTAGTAGGAATGGTCATCAGAAAAACTAGGTAACAAACTCATCTGAATGTGCAAGGGGCCACACAGGTTACATCTAAGCAAATCTAGAAGACCTGTAGACATTCCTGAATTGAAAGCCAAGAATTAATTTCATGTTTTCTCATCACAGTTTCCGCAGAACTGTTCTCCCCTGCATTTTACCCCGACAGAAATGGCATAGAGTTAAGGGAAGGTCCTTTTAAGAGGGGGAGTGAAGGAAGGATTGATCTGGATCTCCACCAAAATAGCCTCTAAAAGCTCTTTAGTGATGGAGTCCCTGCTATGTCAGGGAATGAAAGAAGTGGAAGAGTCCCAAAAATAGTTACTTCAGTTAAAAGAAAAAATAATCCAGATGTACATGGCTGCCTTAAATAATTCTACAGCCAGACCTACAGACTGTTCATTGGACTGTGGGGTAGCTGAGCACAAAATGGCCCAGGGGGTGAATTTACCTGCAGAGTTTGCACCAGAGAGGAACCCCCCCCCCAGTCCTTGAGGGGAGAGACAGCTGGAATAACAGAAACAGAAAGGCAGCCCAGGGAAGGGCTGGCCCTGCACTGCAGCTGCTGCAGAGCTTGTCCCTGACTTCTCCTCCAGGTGACAGAGCTGCTCCTCCTGAGCCCAGGACACAGTCCCTGGGGACAGTGGGATCTGCTCCTGGGGAAGAGCTGACCCTGACCCAGCTCCTGTTCAAAACCTGGGGAACAGGCACTTCCCTTTGATCATGAGGTAAATTAGCTGAGGCTGTCAATCCTTTTGGGAAGCAGGATTGAGAGTTAAAAGACTTCTTTTTTTCCAGTGAAAGCAAGCCTACAGCAAGACAGCAAAGTCCCCTAAGGAATTTATTTGGAAGAGGGGAAGTGTATTTACTAAATGGGTTCTTTAGACCTAACTGGATTTCCAAGGTAGCTTTATTTATTTATTTCAAGACACATTTAATAATACTGTCAAGATCCATGTTCCTTTAATTCTAACTTGAATGTTTCACAACAGAACAGGGGTGTCACTTTTTAATGTGCCCTCTGGTGATATTCAACATTTCATACACTTGGACTATAAAACATTAAAATTAATGGGGGTTACGTGAACTTTTTATTTTGATCTGTGATATTATTTAATGATACTGCATTTGCAGCAGTGCTTTGAGCTGCACAGAGCTGGGACCACGTGAAAGACTGGAGGTGGCATCTCCCACAGAGGTGAGCAGGAGGTACCTGCCAGGTCTGTTGGCTCAGTAACAGATGCAGTCTCTGGCTGCTCTCAGTGGCCAGTGAAGAGCCATCACCACGTTCTCAGCACAGGGAGTTGTTCTGGGTGTTTCTAACACAGGGTGCAGGAAAGGCACAGCCCTGTCTGCACTTTGTGCTTGTCTGTCTCAGCACAGCGAGCTGGGATGTGCTGTCTGACAGTTAGAGCTGATTAGTTGCTGGAATCTGAACTATTCAGGCAGGGGAGAGGAAGGAATCCAGTTTGTCCTCTTATATATCTCAGAAATATAAAACCAGCTTTAAAACTCTGGGGAGATAGCTGTGCATCATGCTCCAGCACAGAAGCCACTTCTCCCAAGGATGAATTGCATATATTTTGCCATTTGTTGGCTGATGCTGCAATGTTTAATTCATTTGTTTGATTGCAGTTTGAGGTGGTGTATGAGTACAGAGCTCTTTGCTTTAGGGGAAAGGTGACTGCAGGCAGGATGGGGGATGATTAGGTACTTGTAAGCAGCACTGATGAGTAAAAATATAAACGTGGAGACAAGAGGCTCTTGAAGATAATGGTCACAGGGGGTGGGATTTAGAGAGACAACCAAATAACACTGAAGATCTATAAAGTACTTTTGACATTGCCAGTGACTGGAACTTGCTGCATTATCAGCCCATGAGACAACTGTGAACAGAACTTGCTGCCTGGCTCTGCTTGTTCTCAACTCCACAAACAAGACTGAGCTTGAACAGAGTCTGAATCATTATTTTTCCAAAAACATCAGAGGGGCAGCTGTCTGTTGTGAGCAGGCATTGAAGGCAAAGGTTATTTACCCACCATTCCCGGTGCAGCTCCCATCTCTAACCATCCCTCACAGCTTTCTTTCCCAAAGAACTTGTGTGGTTATTGTGTTCTCCAGCAGGAGAGCAGAGCTCTATAAATTATCAACATGAACAACTAAAGGGTCAAGTTTTGGCTCCACAGAACCTGAATTTTGACCTTGACTTCAACGAAACTAAAGCTGCTGCTTTGTTTTTGCCTGTACTGTTCACCACCACAAAGCTGAGACAGGATCTTTATGGGACTGGGAGGGGAAGCAGTAAAAATATTTACAGTAAGTAGCCAATACATTGGCCTTCCTTTTATGTGCTTGTGTTCCTCCCTATTTTACTAACATTGTTCTGTTTAACCTCAAACAGATCATTCAGGGAACTCCTGTACATTTATTGCTTTTATTCAAACAAGGACAAATGTAAATCAATAGGCAGGTCAATAGAGCTCATTTGAAATCAGCTGGATTCAACTGAGATTTTATTAGTGCCCATCTTGTTTTGTTAATACATTAATTCTAAAGACTTTTGCCAGGAAGAACAAACACCTGAATGGCTCCTCTTTCACAATGTTTAGCACCTTGTGACCAGTGGTAATGTCAAGGTCTAAATTAAGATGTGAAGAGCAGCCTCTGCATTCTGTTCCTGTGGACAAGGGATGGATTTGGGGATGGACTGGTAAGTACCAGGACCAGGAGTGCGCTGGAATGATAAAGGAAGAACATGAACATGTCTAACACCTTCTGGAGCTTTCCAAACGAAATCTAAAACTACTGTCAAGGACTGTTCAGAGGTCACTGGGGGCTTCAAGAGCCCATCTAAGATGTTTTATGAGTAAAACAAGTAAAGCCTCCATCCATGGACGTTCTCAGGGACGTGCAGGGGACTGCAAGAAGGACCACACACTTGCAAGAGGCTAAAATGAACTTGCTTTTAATCTTGTTTGGAGAGGAGGTGATGCTGTAAACATTCAGATGCAATTTCTCAAAAATTTGGAATGTATATAAATTATGGGAAT